TTGAATTTTTATTTTTTTACTTTTGCCTGTTGTTGATGTAGAAAATGATATTATACTTTCGAGGGGAGAGTAAACTCCCAGGAGACACAGAACCAGTGCTAACTCATAGTGAAGGGTCTTCCTTTAATTCGTGAGCAATTTTTGGTCTTAGAATAATTCACGGAGATAATTTTTTTTCCAGCTGAATTAAGTGTCTGCCCTGCAAGCACTGTGTTCGGTAATGCGCTCTTGGAAGTTTTCAAACAAAGAAGCTTGTGCTATGATTGCCTCCATTAGCTAACGTATTGTAATTCAGATGGACAGAGGTCCTGGGCAGCTTTCCTCAGGGGGCAAGTTCCAGTTAGTCCCCAAGATGATGTGTTTCCTTAAGAGTGCAGAGGGAGTCTGATAACCTCCAGCGAGAGCGGTGTTCGTTCAAGTGATGGAAAAGCTGAAATCTGAGAGCATTTTAGATAACTGGTAGGATTTGAAAAAAAAAAAAAAAGGAAAGTAGGTCCAGGTCCAAGAGGGAATAAACACATTTGGTGGATGGTGAGGAAACCTGGTTGTGTATAGAAATGAAGCTGAACAAAGTCAGGGAAGCTAGGAGGTCAAGAACTTCGCACGTGTGTGGGGTCTGAATGAATTTGGTCTCAAGTTGGTTGAGTTTTACTGATGATGTGATTTTCAGGGAGACCTTTATGAAAGGCTGTTGAAGAAATGGTCATGGGCCCTTCAGTGTTTAATAAATGAAAGGCAGCGCAGAGAAGAGTCGGAGCTGCGCCTGGATGGAGCGCCACTTGCCTGGAGGCGCGGGTTCCCGAGGGCCTGAGGGGCGAAGCCTGCAGCAGCCTTTGAGCTCAGAAGGGCGGTCAGTGATTTAGGCCGTCGCCTGCTGCTGGTTCCCTTTGACATCTTTCTCATTTGGAATATAGAGAAAAGTAGCATGAGACAACACTACTGCAGACTCAGAATTAAGACTTAATTTAAACCATGAGTTTATTGAATTATGTGCTTTTTTGGAAAAGTGGGGCCTTTTGAAAGACTGTCCTAGAGGGAAATGATCAGCTTCACTTTATGCCTCCTCTCAGTCATCTTAACATTAATATTTACAAAAGTACATTGCAGTTAGTTCAGTTCTCCAGATCTTTCCCGAGTACCTGTTGTGAGGAATACAATGGAGAGGAAGAGAGAGGAAGGTGAGATTTGGGGTCTGGGTGGAATGCAGAGTCCATGAGCGTGCAAGAGAAGATGAGACTGGAAGCGTGAGCTCTCGGGGGTCTGCTAAGTGGGTAAAATGATGGAATTTGAGTAGAGGAATTTTTTAAGATGGTACAGGGGGCATATTAGTTCATTTGTACTTTTTAAATTCAAATAACTTGCTGATTTTCATTGAAACAGGGGGCCAGTTTCTCAAACGGCAAGCATATTAGCCAAAGTATACTGAACAGCAACAGAAAATATTCAGTGCTGTGAAATCTTGGTTTCAGGAATCACCTCATTGGAAAATAGGGCAAAACTATTAAATAAACGGCCCTGGGTAGGGAAAACAAAACTCATTTTTGGCCACAGGGCTCAGGGAGCCGGCATTCCTTACCTTGATGCCTATACATAGACGTTTCAGTAATGTTATTTGAAGAACAGGAGGAGAAAAATCTTTGGTGTACTCTTAAGGAAAGAGTCAGTTGTTATTTAGCCCGTTGTTCAGTTCAGCGCCTTGATACATTCAGATCCTTTGTGACTTGGAAAAAACAAAAGACCAGAGAACAGTATAGATGTCATGTTGAATATTTTTATTTTCCCAACATCTAATTAGATAAGAAATACACACACACACACACACACACACACACGAGTACTTAAATCAAATAGTTAAAGCCAGTGGACTGATGAATTGGACTCAGTGTGAGTTACCAGGACTAGTTCTAAATTATTAATGAACGAAGTAATCCCACTTGGTATCCTGTTTGATACAGTGAGCCAGCAACTGTGATTCTAACCTGGTGATGAATGAAAAAAAGCGGGGAAGTTAACATCACTTTCAGTTGAGCAATATGGGATTGAAATTGTGATATAAGCCCTTGTGTTTTTTCTGAGGGTCATATTTTATTTCCCAGATATGGGCAAAATGTGATGAACCCAACATTAACAGGATTCTTTAATGTTACTACAAATGAAGACATTTCTCAGCTATGTGTTTTTTGTGACAACTTTGCAAATAAAAATCAAACCTCATTAATAAGTTACGGGAAGTGTCTATCTATAATGATCCATAGAGGGTCATTAAAATGCAACCTTGGACTATAGTGAGTCCCCTGACATTGGAGCCAGTCAGGTAGATCTGAGAGACAGTTAATTTGGGGTTGTGTAACATATATTTCTTTATCGTGTAGGAGTTTGGCTAGATTAGTTTCCCAGCCCAAATTTAACTTAGAAACACACATACTTCAAGAATAAAGACAGATAATAGTGTGGGGAAGGCCTGGGGGAGGGGATGCAGGGTGGAGGGGATCAATGGGGGAAAAGGGGGGGGACATCTGGAATACTTTCAACAATAAAGATTTTAAAAAAGATCAGAGCAGAAATAAATGACATAGAGACCAAAAAACAACACACAAAAAGATCAATAAATCCAAAAACTGGTTCTTTGAAATGATAAACAGGATTGATGAACCTTTAGCCAGATTCATTTAAAAAAGAAGAATAAAGCACAAGATGAGTAGCAGTTCGAGCTCTAAATAGTCATCACTGAGCAAAGCAAAAGGAAGGGAACCAGTGTAAAAAATCGTAGTAAAAATTTGGCGATAGGGAAAATTTGATGATTTCTAAGGCTCCTTTGATTCCTGATTTTCTGTAACTAAAACTTGAGTATGCAGATCAGGTCACTGGCACATGAACTCCCACTCGGAGGTTTGAAACTGAATTGTGGCCTCCTCAACCCCAATTCTGGTTTGATAAACATCTTTAAGAAAGCAAGCAAGGAAGCTGACTGCTGGGCCAGGTCACAGTTGGTGCCAGCTTTAGATTAGGGGGTAGTGATGCTAGATGAAGCCTGGATCTGTGTGCATACGGTTGAAATAGTTAATAGTCAACACCACACAGGACACAGGTTAAGTGAGAGAGTGATGTGAAGGACCAAGGGTTAGCGTGGTTAATCTACCTCTGGCCATCTGAATCTACCTCTGGGCACCTTAACCTAAGGAAACCTCCGGCAGGGAAGGCCAGCACCATGGACAGCTCCCCAGAGTGTTGCTGCAGCTCCAAAGCCCAGGGTTTAGCTTGGGAAAACTGTGTTCAGGTCCTGGGTCCACCCTCTTCCTAGATAAAGGTCTGTACCATGGATAGACAATTTCATTTACGCAATTCTCAGTTTAATTATCTGAAACATAGTAATAATACCTATTTTTCATAGTTCTTGTGGTACATAGATAATAAATTGTAAGTGAAATTCTGTGTCAGCTATACAATCTAAAGGTGTTAATATTATATTAATCTTTCACTTTTAATCTCTTATCTGTAAATACCTAAGATTGCATTATGTTAATGAAAATTACTAAATTCTCCTCAAGGTATGAAATATGAATTAAATAAATGGTTGAAGGAGACCAGGTATAAGCAGATATACACTTGATCGGTGAGAGGAGGACACTAGGATATACTTCATATCTTGTAGGTTCAGGCATAGGTTCTTATATTTATTATGCAATTTAATTTTCATAACAACTCTGTGTACGTAGCAAAAAGTAGGAGAACCAGTCCATGGCATGGCGTTCCATCACAGCATATTCTTTCCAATCCTGCTGCTAGGATGAAATGAATTGTATCTTGTGTATAGGGCCAAAGTAGTGCTGGAATTCAGATTCTTGGTTTCTCCAAGAGTGATCTCTTCTAAAGATTTTCCTGGTGCCAGAAAGCAGGAGTTAAAGACAGAGAGAGAGGGTAGGGAATACACCTCAGCCCCAAACAAGGGGGATATCAGAATTTCCATGGCCAGGACACAGAGCCAGTATCCAGGGGCCTTTTAGAAGGAGGTGAACCAGGCTCGCTGGAATACATGGGTGGGTACTGAGGATGCTACAGGTCTGGTCATGGTGGGAATCCTTGCAGACACCCTCAACCCAGTGGCTATTAAAGGAAATGAAAAATCATACTTCCATATCTGTGTGTGGTAACTCTAGTCCAGTAATGTCTTATTGAAAAATGCCTAAATACCTTTACAATTAGAGTATTGTAAGAGGAATGGAATGCTTGTATCATTAGCACTTGATATTCCTGTCTTTGATGAAACCAAAGTATTTTTCTTGTGATCCTTCATAAATTTTATTAGACTTAATTTGAATAGACTTGGGCATTATATTTTTTTATGAACATGAAATCTACATTTGAAAAATGACCGTTTGATGGGTAAATTGATGACTATAAAATGTATGATAATGGGAATTCATAGAGGAGTACAGAAATACCCTCAACATCTTTCCATGTAGTTTATCTTATGTAACAAGAATATAGACAGCTACAGGGTGCTTTGTAAAACTACTATTCGAGTCCTTTTACCTGAAGATCAGCTCGGCTGATATTTTTTCCTTTCCAGTTTGATAAATGTTTGTGATTATCTGTTCAATAACTTTTGAGGAACAGGTTGAAGAAGTAGCAATTTTCTACCCAGGTAGCATTTTAGTTCCATTATCAGAGGGAGGTGATTATTGTTTGGTGCTGTTGTCCCTCAGAACTTTCAAAAGGAAAATGTTAGTGATTAGGTGGTTATATAGTGATTTATATAATAGAAAGAGCAGTGGGGTTGAAATCAGAAGATACAAGCATATTTGAATTCTTTCTTTCAAGTCTTACCAGGTAAATTATTTAAACCCTCTGAGCCACAGTGAAAATGGGACTGCCTGCCTTTGTCACAGAATGGGCGTGAGATTACACGAGATGATGCTTGTGAAAGTGCTTAAGACTTGTAATGTATTTTTAAAAGAAACTCTATAATAATTATTCTTTTTGGTTATTTTCCACAGAAAGTAAGTGAGAAGGTTGGAGGAGCTGAAGGAACCAAGCTAGATCATGACTTCAAGGAGATGGAGAGGGTAAGTCTTCCCCACATGGAGTTCCCGTTGTCGCAGAATCGCCCAGCACCCTGAGAGGAGAAGGGAGAAAGGAAAGGGGAAAATGTTGTCCACTGGTACCGGAGAATACATTTTGTTATTCTTAAAAATGCTCTCTTTTTTAGTGTCTATTTTAAAGCAGAAAATGTAAAGCATCCTGCCTTCCCTTTGTATTATCCCAAGAACAAAATGTCAGTGAAGGTGAAATTCCATAATGTACTTTTCCTCGTGAATTTTATCATCACTCTTCCAAACAGGGATAGTGTGGAGCGAGGTGGGAAGCCAGAGAAGGCGGGGAGACGGTGTCTTGAACGTTGGGGGAGAGTTGGGTCGTGTTCTGGCTTCAGAAGACTCTCCCTGCGGACCGTGCCAGCCAGAGGGGTGGGGAGTCCTGGGGAGAGGGCAGCGGGGGGGG